AGGCAAGGGTCCACGATCCGTGGTGGACCACATTAATTAATTAAACGGATTTCTAATCAAATTAAATCCTTTTTAATTATTATTAATGAAATTAATTAAATAATTAATTCGGGATTAAAGGCCGTAACACGGGGTGTTACAAATTCAACATCAATGGGAGAAATAAGATCAACATGAATCAAAGCATTCACATCTTCTACAATATAAAAAATATGCAATATTAATCAAAATTCAAAGTAAAAACGAAACTAAATTGCATATAAACAATATAAATACCTGTAATATCATCATCTAATTCAATCGCATCAATTGTGTTGTTTGAATCATTGATATTATCCATAATGACGGAGAAGAAGCAATTCTAGGAAAGAGAAAATTGTGGTGAATTGCGGGCGAACGAAGAAGTTGCAGTGAATTGCGGTGAACTTTGTTTTTGCGGAGGAGAAAACGAAACAATGACCAGCGAAGAAGGATGAGAAAAGGAAACAATGGATAGGGAAGGAAGGAAACAACAACCGATGCTAACGCCATTAAAACTAGACTTCCGAATTTTATTTTATTTTTAAGATGAAACGGTGTAGTTTTGGACCATGGTCTAGCCAACTAGGCTAGACCATGGTCCATGCAACAACAATTGTAGGAAATTAACCTTGGCCCAAATTCCTTAAGTCCTGAGTAAATTCATACAATTGAACCCTTATAAAATATTCTTCTGTGGGCTTTGGTGTATATATATATATATATATATATATATATATATATATATATATATATACTAGTTTTATTACGCGCTTTGCGTGAATGGAATAATGCCCAATAATTATTTTTAAATAAGTATTTTAAAATATCTCAATGCAATATTATATCGGAGATGTTCATGCATAGTTAAATATATATTGAATTTTTTTATTTAAATCGGTAATTTAAAGTATATAAATACAAGATAATATATGAGAGATTGATTATATTGTCACTAAAATAAATGTTTGCAACTTTGTAATAACGCTAGTCTAAATACTTGGTCTAAAAATGATAGTCTAAATAAATACTATTTTTGGTTTAAATTTCTCTAATTCTTCTTAATTCTCTTTTGGGTAGCATTGTCATTGTCTTCATCTTTAGTACATGTCCTCTTTTTTTTTTTTTATTAGTAGCTAGTGTGTCATGTGCAATTGGGTTACTGGTGGTAGCATAGATAGATGGATTCATCGTGCAATGAGATTATGGTGTAGGAAGCTTTAGATTTGCCTTTGTTGAGTATATGATGGGATCTTAGTTGTACTATTAACCCTTTATCTTACAATCACCTATTGATATTTTGTAGTAGTAGTTTTTCCCCTACATGTTTCATGCGTTGTGAGATGTGTGTCGTAGATTATCATGTGAAAGTATTGAACAAAATATTAATATTTATTACATTTGTATAAAATACTTGGTAAATAAATATATATAGCATATTTTGTATTATAACTTTGATATTTAATTACAAGAAAATGTGAAAAGAAGACAATGGACAATGTAGTGAATATAATAAATTAATAAATTTGAAGGTAATGAATCTTTGAATTGTAGAAAATAAAGATAATATAACTAATGAAATTATATCTCTTTTTAAATTTTTTATAATGAATAATTTTTAAAAATAAAGCCATTATAGACATCTAATTCTAAATTAATTAAATGCATATGTATTATTTTTTGTTGCAGCTACTAATTTATTTAATTTAATAATGTCATGTTTGGTTAATGGAATAGGTCAGGAATGGAATAACATTCCTTGGAATAGACCTATTCCATGCCGGGGAATAGCCATTCCTAGGGGGGGCCTTGATATTAGCTATTCCCATGCCCTTGGGAATAGCTTTTATATCACTAATACCAAAAATACCCTTTACACATTATATAATATTTATATTTATTTAATAAATATAATGTATTATATAAATGTATATATTTAATTAATTATAATTTTTATCCATCACACACACACACACTTTGCAGCGTTTGCAATTTGCATTTTGGAAAAAGAAAAGTATTTTCTCAAAACACCCTTGACAGTTTATTATATATATATATATATATATATATATATATATATATATATATATATATATATATATATATATATATATATATATAAATTAACTGTATAAGACTCCTTAATTATAAGCCTTGGCTCCTAAATTAAGTAGTCTGCCCATCTGCATGCTAGCGAATGGGCATTGCAAGCTTGCCTAGCGGATGAGCATTGCAATTGAAATTATGGAGCCTCGAGGCTCCTTTTATAGGAGCCTCAAGGCTCCATTCCTTACTTCTCCAGCCGAAATGGGATAAGTGGGAAAATAAATATAAATATAATATGTATTTGTATATATAGTAATAATAATAATAATAATAATAATAATAATAATAATAATAATAATAATAATAATAATAATAATAATAATAATAATAATAATAATAATAATAATAATAATTATTATTATTATTATTATTATTATTATTATTATTATTATTATTATTATTATTATCTCACACACACATGCATATACATGTATATACATATAAATATAAATAAATAAATAAATAAATAAATATATATATATATATATATATATATATATATATATATATATATATATATATATATATATATATATATATATATATATATATATATATATATATATATATATATATAACATTCAGTATATCATTATTATTATTATTATTATTATTATTATTATTTTGTATAAGGGTATTTATGTCTTTAAAACCTATTCCATTTCTATTCCTTTAACCAACCAAACACTGGAATACAATTACTAAAGTCTATTTCTTCAGCCAACCAAACAACAGAATACAATTTCTATTCTATTCCTTACCTATTCCATTCCCTGTGGAATAGCATTTCTATTCTCTCCAAATTCATTCCGCAAACCAAACTTTATTGATTTTTTTATTATTATTTACATTCATTGTTGAGACAAATTGTTTTGAGAGTATGTCAATGACAAATGTTACAATTCCTATCAATAGAGGATGATAATAAATAATTCAAAATATATAGTTACAATAGATATTGCTATAATGATATAGTAAAAATTAACTTACAAATTTCTTTAGAAGTTTCATGCATTGATAAATTTTGATGGGTAAATTAAACATTTTCAATTGGAGCCAGTGGGATGTCAACATTGTCAATTCTTTAGAAAATGGTCCTACCGTTTTAGAGTCCGGGTGTAATTTTATTTATGATCAACAACTTTGTAGTTAGGTCGCACAGGTCTGACAATAATGAAAGAACAATTTTGTCCGGTAAAAAAAATAATAGTATAATATTTGTAAAGTAATGTACAATTATACCATTATAAAAATGCATACAAAAATATTAATACCATAACGACCGAAATCATACCAATAATGCAAAAGTATAATTGAAATATTAAGTTTTGTTCTGATCTAAATAATCAAAAGAAGATTAATTAAACGAAAAAAAAAAGCTTAACATAATTTTTTTTTTAAATGCATAAAAATGAAATGATTTTTAAAGTTCTTGATTTATAATCTTTGATGCTTAACTTTGAATATTATGTATTTAGTAGGACTAATTATTAGACAAAAGTTTATGTTAAATTTTATATTATATTTTTTTTTAATAAATTTTAACAAATTCGTAGTATATGTTTAACAATTATGCCAACTCTAATTGGGATGGGGTTTGAACCTAAAACATTTCTTATAGAAATTAATAAATAGTTAACGGAATATTACGTTACGAAAGTTGATACTAACGGAATTTAGGTCATTTAAGCAAATAAAATAATATAATAGAGGGTAAATAAGGCAAATCAATAAGAAATGCTAAAATCAAAATAATATGAACCATTCATTTTAAGAAACAATTACCGAAATTTTTTTGTTCCAGTTAAGGGCCTTACAATATTGGCTCTTATTAGAATATATATATATATATATATATATAGGGATGCGCTCAGGAGGGAAATGCGAACGAATCAGCGCGCGACACGTGTCCAGATCTAATAACTTTAAAAAAAATGCGGTGGCATTTTCGTAAATAATTGAACATCGAAGTGCAAGTAAAATCACTTACAAGTGCACCTACTTTCACCTATAAGTGCATGTAATTTTGCCTTGTTAGCATTCACTTTCCGCAAACATTCATGCACCTGGGTATAACTATTTATAACTATAGGTGTAACTACTTATAACTATAGGTGCACCTACTTTCACCTATAAGTGCATGTAATTTTGCCTTGTTAACATTCATTGATCTGAGTTCAGCGGGTAGTAATACCCCTGAAAACCACTCGCAAACATTCATACACCTAGGTGCAACTACTTATAACTATGTGTGCAACTACTTAGAACTATAGGTGCAACTACTTAGAACTATAGGTGCAACTAAGTATTGATGCTCAGTGTAAATTTTTACTTGCACCTATAATACTTTTTACATGCACTTGTAATACATTTTACTTGCACTTCGATGTTCAATTATTTACGAAAATGCCACCGCGTTTTTTTTAAAAAATCAGTGTTTCTCATCCATTAGATCTGGACACGTGGACGAACAGAATTCATTCCTATTTCGCGCCTGGGCGAAGCATTTGCACCTGAGTGCGATTATATATATATATATATATATATATATATATATATATATATATATATATATATATATATATATATATATATATATATATATATATATATATATATATATATATTCTAATAAGAGCCAATATTGTTAGGCCCTTAACTGGAACAAAAATGCCATGAGATTAGAATATATGATGAAGCCCAATTCAATTCCTTATTCTTTTAAAGCTAGTCTACCTATACTTATGGGGGCCCAAAACATATTTTAATAATTTTTAAATTTGACTTTTTAATTTTATGTTACTTTTTATAGTTTCTAAAAACATATATATTTTTTTTTTGGTGAAAAAGAGGGACCCAAAGGTCCCAGAAGGAGATTAGTAAATTCTTCTAGTTGAAACGCCATTGGCATCCATCCGAAGGAGATTATTGATTTCATCCGGAGGGTGTAAGAAGACCGTGGTCCCCCAGCTAGAGTTCTGCCCAAGATTCGCCATGAAATCTGCACAACTATTTCCTTCGCGAAGGGTATGCCTAAGATCACACGAACCGAGCCGCGTCATGAGAGATTTGCAATCTGAGATGAGGGTATTAGCTTCAGGTCGAGATGTGCTATCACCCTTAATGGCGTTCACCACTGAAATAGAGTCTACTTCAGCAACCAGACGAACCAGCCCTCTATTGTTCGCTATGAGGAGTCCTTCCCGAAGACCCCATAATTCCGCCATGAAGCTTGAGGTGGTGCCAACTTTGGTCGAGAACCCCACCAACCAAGCCCCCGTGTGGTCTCGGATGACACCTCCCGCACTAGCCATTCCCGTGTTCGCCTTCCTGGCGCCATCCGTATTAAGCTTTGTCCAACCTTGCATGGGTGGTGACCAACCGATCCAAAGCTGTCTTCCCAGCATGATGCCCCTATGAGAGACGAGTACTCTTTCTGCTTCACCGGCTTCCAGAACTGCACGGTGTACCGCTACATTTGCTTGCACAAAATTATGGTTAAACACAAGATCATTTCTTGCTTTCCGCATGTTCCAAAGAATATAAACAAAGTCTGTATTCCAACTTCCCTTTCTCGCGCCATTTCCTGTCATAGTACAGTTTTCCTTAATCCATCGATGCAAGGGGGTGGCTGCTGCTCCGTTGAAACTGGGCGCCTTCTTGCATGTACTCCAGCAGGCATTCGCGAAGTCGCATCTTCTAAAGATGTGGTCGAGAGTTTCATCTGGTTCATCACATCTCGGGCAGCGATCATCGTCCGTTAAGCCACGTCTCGTTCTCTCGGAGTTCGTTAGGAGACCGTTCCGTAACACTTTCCACAGAAAAATTTTTATTTTTTCCGCACATTTGATGCGCCACAACCAGCCAAAATCGCCTTCATCATCATCATAGCCTGTAATGAAGTTATAGCCCGATTTGATAGTAAAGAGGCCCGTGCCAGAGTAAGGCCACATGAGAGTATCTTGCTGTTGTTCAACAACGGCAATTGGCGTAGCACGAATGTTCTCCATCACATGGTTTGGAAGCAGCTCTCTGACAGTGGATAGGTCCCAAGCTTTGTCCCCCGAGATTAAGGTGTTGACTCTCATATCTTTCATGTCATCCGGAATCACAATGTCTGTCCCGTTGTTGATAGGGGCGTCACCCACCCACCAGTCCTCCCAGAAATTGATCGAGTCGCCTGTTCCTACCTTCCATTTCATGCCATTAGCAAGAATATACCTGCCTTTGAGGATGCCTTTCCACCCCGGAGAAGCAGTGGCTTTGACGGGAAGGGTCAGGAAATTAGCATCTTTAACGTACTTCTCGTGAAGAGCTTTGACCCAAAGTTTATTAGGGCATGTTACCATTTGCCAAGCAAGCTTGGCTAGGAAAGCAAGATTGAACTCCTTAGCTGTTCTGAGCCCGAGCCCTCCTAGGCCTTTGGATTTGCAAATATCACCCCAATTAACTGTGTGGATTTTCCTAGAGCTCTCAGAATGACCCCAGAGAAAATTTCTACAAATTTTATCAATGTCTTTGCAGGTGCTAGAAGGGAGGGCCATGGATTGCATGGAGTAAGTCGGGATGGTGGCTAGGGAGGACTGAACAAGAACTCTCCTACCCGCCATACTCAAAGAATTAGCTTTCCAATTTGCCAATTTCTGTCTCATCTTGTTGAGGACAGACCCAAACATGTCTTTAGAAACCCGCTTTTGAAGTAAAGGTATTCCTAGGTAGGAGCCTAAGTGATGCGCCACAGGAATGCCCATAGTGGATCCAACGTTTTGTTTGGAACCTGCACCAGTGTTAGGAGAACAAAAAATCTGAGATTTAGAATGATTTACCTTAAGGCCAGAGATATTTCCCAGTCTGTTCAAACAATCTATCATAACTTTGGCCTGCCGATCCGAGGCCTCCCCAAAGAGCATAAGATCATCCGCAAAAAAGAGGTGAGAGATGCCCACCCCTCCTCTACTAATCGAGATGGGTCTCCAGTGCCCCAAGGAAACCTGATTCTGAATGTCATAAGCCAGTCTTTCCATGACCAGATTGAAGAGATAAGGAGCTAAGGGATCCCCCTGACGAAGGCCCCTACCTGGCTTAAAGGGTTCCAAGCTACCCCCGTTCCAAAGGATGGAGATTCTACTTTCCCGAAGAGAGAAAAGGATGAGATCAATGATTTGTCTGGGAAAGCCAAAGGCCACCAAGGTGTCTTCAAGAAAGGCCCAGTCAACGCTATCGTAGGCTTTTTGGAGGTCAACTTTAACTGCCATAGAGCCTTTGTGACCTTTCTTTTTATTCATCACATGAACGATCTCTTGGGTTAGAATAATATTATCAAGAGTGGATCGACCCGGTAGGAAACTGTTTTGATGAGGCCCAATCAGCTTGCACATAATTGGCCTTAAGCGGTTGACAAGGACTTTAGAGATCACCTTGAAAGCCACATTAAGAAGAGTGATGGGTCTGAAATCAGCCGCCGACTCGGGGGCCTCTTTTTTAGGAATGAGCGTGACATAGGCGGTCAAGAGAGAATTCTGAACGGTGCTACTCGCCAAAGCTTGATTGACCATGGTGGTGAGGGCAGGACCTACAACATCCCAATAATGTTGGTAGGGGTATACCATCCGGGCCCGGACTACCAAATCTTTTCATGCCGAAAACCGCCTTTCTCACTTCTTCCATAGACGCACTATGTGTCAGACTCAGGGCCTGGAGGTTAGAGATTCTTTGGGAGCTATCAACCTGAGCCAACTCTGAACTTCCTTGCACAGGGACCCTGTCAAAGAGAGAAACAAAAAAATCAGTAATGTGGTTAGCAATAATCTGGGGGTCCGCCGTCCAGGCTCCATTAATCTTTAGGTGTCTGACACGGTTCCTATTTCTTTTAATTACGGCCGAGTTGTGATAGAAACTGGTGTTCCTATCCCCGTCTTTAACCCAATCCGACCTGGACTTTTGAAACCAAAACGTCTCCTCTTGATCAAGCACCTCGTTGAGATCTTTCTGTAGCCGCTTGTCGAGAGACTGAAGGGCTCCCGAAAAAGCATAGTTGTTGGCCTGCTGGGTACCCCGAATGTGACCCTCAATGTGCCTTTTTCTTTGGAAAATGTTACCGAAGACATCAGTGTTCCAGGTTTTACTCTTAGCAGTCACCAAAGTGATAAAATTAGCAAAGCCCTCGCTACCAAGAAGGGCTGAATCTTCCCAAATCTTTTTATAATCCTCTCTACCCAGCCATGCAGCTTCAAATCTGAACGGGCGCGAACTCCTATCCGGGGGGTTACCCGCTTCATCAATGAACAGGACCGGATGGTGATCGGAATGTAGACGGGCTAACACCACCGCTTTTGCCTCGGGAAAGAGCATTTGGGCTTCCATATTCCAAAGGACCCTATCAAGCTTGCGCATTTGGGTCACTCTACCACCCACATGCCTGCACCATGTGAACCTCGGCCCCGACGCTCCCACATCGAAGAGACTGCAGTTGTTCATAGCATCAGAAAATCTATTCATGCTTATGGTGGAGACCGAGTCACTCCCCCACTGTTCCCCCACAGCCGCTATATCATTAAGGTCACCAACCAAAACCCAGGACGCGTTAACCGAATCTTTAAAAATTCGGCACTCATCCCAAAACCTGGATTTGGCCATAATATTTGGCTTGACGTAAGCAAAAGTGAGAAAACAATCCCGTAGGCCCAGCCGAGCACGTGTATGGATCGCTTGGGATGAATGACTCACAACATCCAGATTCAACTTCATATGATTCCAAAGTAGAAGGAGCCCACCTGCAAAACCAAGAGGCTCGACAAGAAAATGGTTAGAAAAACCAAGCTGGTTGGCCAACTTAATCATGGCCTCAACCTTATTGGTCCTAATTTCCAGGAGACATAAGGCATCGGGTCGAGAAGAGTTAAGAAGTTGTTTAACGTGCTTCCTAACTCGAAAATTCCCAACACCTCTGCAGTTCCAGGAAACGACCTTCATTGAGAACCTAAGAGCGAGGGGGAAGTTGGAGCACCGCCTTCCCCAGGCGTAAAACCATCTCTACCACTCAAGGTGGAAGGGAGAGAGGAGAGGTTCCCTCCAAAACCAGTATTACTAGTACTGCCAAACTGGAAATGCCCAGTACCAGACTGGGGGTTCCAATCGAAACTATTGAAATCAGCAGGGAAAGAAAAAGAAGAACTCAAACCTCCGCGGTAACCTGTCCTTCCACCACCACGATTAGTGCTTGGGCTCCGCCGCGGGAGATGTACCCACGACTTCTACCCATGCGACCATCGCACTGATTTTGGACCCCGCGTGCAATTGTCGAGGTGTCGGGCGGATCACCGCTTCCCTTCCCGTCAAAGCGCCGGGTTATGTTCTGACGTGCCGGTGTAACGCCATTCCGACCTGGGGTTGTACCTCTCTCCACCGTCGCGTTACCAGGAGTGGTCACCTGAGGTCGCACTGACTAGGCAACCGGAGCCTCGTCAGCATGGTGAGCGAGAGGACCGAACTGATTTCCTCTCTGTAAGTTGTCTCAGTTGCGAGCATTGGCGCTCACATGTCCATGGCGAATATTCCCTTCCTTCGAGTGCCTCTGTGGAACTCTCTCCTTCGACTGCCTCTGTGGAAGTCTCTCCTTCGACTGCTTCTGAGAGTTACCTTCTAACGGTTGCTTTTGCTTGCCTTTAGTAGGTGGTTTCGGCTTATTTTTGTTCTTATAGTTCACCATCATCCAAGCCCCATGCTTCTCGATGGGAGGAGGCGGTTTGGCCTGTTCCATATTCATGGATTCTTGCATATTATCGTGGCCATCAATACCAGTTTCAGACGAGGCATTGTCACCCTTGTGGTGCTTGTTACAGTCCGCCGAACGATGCCCCACCTCCCCGCACCCAAAGCAGATAACATGCATGCCTTCAAACTCCACTTTTTGGAGCCGATCTTGAACCATCACTACAGCCACAAGTGATTTCGTGAGATCGATCTCGACCACCGCTCTCGCGAATCTACCGCGATCCACCCCCACTGTCATAGTGTCGATTTTTAGGGGGGTTCCAACGTTATTTAGGACCTCCCGTATAGCTTTTTCCCTGAAGAACTCCACCGGGAGCCCCGATAGGCGCACCCAGACGGCCATCCGTTCCACCTTCGCGTTGGCAGGATCGAAGTTAGGCCTCCATCTCTGTGCCACCACATATTGATCAAAAAGCTTCCAAGGACCATCAACTAACACGTGAAGGCAGTCCTTCTGGAGGTTGAACCGCACGATGTACCATCCAAACCCCACATCTATAATTTCAGTTTTCCCTTCCGGATTCCAGATGCGTAGCATGCGCTGTTGGAACAAGTGGAAAGCTATCGGCTTACCGAGGAATTTAATGAGCAAAGCATTCTTCCATGGTTTGATCTACTCTTGTCTAAGTTCCTTAGAGAACTTCACCACTGGGATGCCATCCGGCCTTTCGTTTTCCTCCTCTTCCTTGTCGGATTCGACGTAGATCTCATCATCGAACCAACTTTCTTGTTCGTCACTTACCGGCATGTCATCCTCAAGCATCGGATGACTAGCGGTTGTCTCAGCAAAGGTTCGCTTAGTCGGTTTGAAACGCTTCACTGTCTGTACCCTCCCTTCAGCCGCTCTTGGTAGATCTCCGCCGTTAGAGGGCGGAGCCATCGCCTCGGCCTCCATGGCCAAGGCCAACAACAGCCGCGAAAACTTACCAAAAACGGACCCGTACCCTAAAACCGTAGAGAGCACGCGTTAGTTAGAGAGAGAATTTTTCGAAAACACTCATTCTAAAAACATATTTTTTGGTTTTATGCAATAATAAAATCTTTTCTGATTTGGTAATGTATTCAGTGGGTTATAATAATGTACCTTGTGCTCTAAAATAATGTACCCTATATGTTAAAAAAATGTATCCTTGCAGTCTTGATTTTGGGTAATGTACTCTATGGGTTAGAATAATGTATCTTGTGCTCTAAAATAATGTACCCTTTGAGTTATCAAAATGTATCTTAGTTAAGGTCACGTGTTCATGAATTGATCACCACTTAGAGATGGCGGGTGGTATACTCGTCAACCCCAAACCCGTCCACGACCCACGGGAAATTAAGGGGAGGGGTTCGTTGGTCAAACGAACTATTCTTATATTATATTTTCAAAACATATTTTAATAATTTTTAAATTTGACTTTTTAATTTTATGTTACTTTTTATGGTTTCTAAAAACATATTTTTTTGTTTTATGCATCAATAAAATCTTTTATGATTTGGTAATGTATTCAGTGGGTTATAATAATGTATCTTGTGCTCCCAATCAATGGCGGGCCAGATCTGATATTGCCTTGGTTCCGGCCTTCTTTCGTAGTGAATTTTTGGATTTGAAGAATTCTAATTCTAAGACTGAATTAAAATTTGTAAATTGAACTTGACTTGTACCTGGAACAGAGAATACGGGTATCAAATTGAAATCCAGGCACTGTTTTCTAGTTTGCGCTTAGATGTGCTCGGCAGATGCTAAAGCCAGAGCGTGATGGCAAAGAGTTGATCGAGCGAATAATCACAGTTCTAAACTATCACATTCAGAAAGACTACTGGCGGAGTTTCACTCAATTAAATAAACTATACCCTTCCAACTAAAAAGAAAAGGAAGTACAGAAAGAATTTCACAAGAGCTGCGTTGAAAGAAGAGTGAATAGAAATCCCTGCAGTGAAGTCACCCGAGGGTGATATCATAAGCAGTTGTCGGAATAACTAGTAATATCATCGGTCAGAATTAAGCCAATTTCTCCTCTTTCTGGGCTTGTTGGAATAAGAGCTTTTGTCGCCTTTCCTTTGTCCTTTGACATCGAATCGCTTGTGCTAGAATCAATGGCATTCCCTTCTTACTAGTCATAGGCGACGGGTGGTCTTCATACGTGGGATTGATTTGGAGAATCCTTCTTTCTAAGCCTGCCCACTTACTAAGATCCAAGCCTTGTCCCCGCAATTGACGAGATTGACTTCCGGACCAAGAGCGCGAGAAGCCTGGGTTCATTCACCAACAGACTTTTCAGCAGACATTGTTAAAAGGAGTACGCCGATGGTTATAACTAGTATATTGTTATAGAAGGAAGATGGAGGGAAAGGATAGATTTAAGCCGAAAATAGGTTTTTGGAGTAAGACTAATCGCTCTTCGACCAGTCGCCAGTTGTTGAGCTCGCCCCGCCATTAGTAGGAAGCAAGCAAGCTCCTCCCATCTGATCGACCTAGAAAGCCAAAATCTCGTTTAGGGAGTTGATCAGACAGGAAGTCCAAACCAAGACATCTCGCCGCATAAGCTGATCCCGATCCCTTTGGGCAGTCCTCTTTCCCCTTTGCTGGACAATTTGGACTCACAATCATCCACCTTATAGGTCAGATGTGGCATTTGATAACAGACGATTTGTTCACAGCAAGATGGCAAAGAGAGGATTTGCTTATATCTACTATATTATATCAACTATAATATTATATCTTATATAGTAGAACAGCAGCTTTTTTAGACAGAGCGCTAGCATCCCTTGCTCTCTATCGATTGCTTACCTTGCAACTTCGCCTATAGGCTTGGTCTTGCTTACGCTACCTAGCACCTGATCCCAAGATTACGGCCCTAAGACTGCTGCATCTCAAATTCTTTTTGAGTCTGCGGGATCCCCGCTCATACACGTCTTTTCTTGCAAGCAACGATGAGTTCTCTCTTCTCCTAAATTAGACCCAGACCTGGGTTTCCAACTTCAATCAAAGCCTGTGCCTTACACGATGACTCAACAATGAAAGGAAGAGAGGTTTTTGATGTAGTTGCAATCAGTGATTTTTTTCACCGAGATTGGGCGGGACTCCTCTTTGCTTCTGACTGAGCGGGCTCGACCGTTTTCGATTTCCCGACAAGAGCCTCCACTTATCAAGGATCTGGATTTTCTGTGCTTAGCTTCACGAATCTTGTACAAAAACAACCATCTCTGGTACTCTCTGGAACTAAGTACCAGGTTGTTCTTTTAAAGTCCAAAAATTGACCTCCAGCAAAGGAACTTCTGCCAAAAGCGAAAGCATTTTTGATCCCTAGCTTTCCACTTAAACAAATGAAGTAGATCGGCCAATATCCATTGCAGGAGAAACCTCTTCAACAAGAGCAGCCAACAATTGAAAGAAAACATTGACATTCAATTAAGTAGAAGGGGATTTGTCAGTCAATGATTAGAGTTATTGGCCTAAGGCATGAAAGCCCGGACGAATCTTGTGTAAGGGAGCCGGGGAAAGGCCCTTGTTCACGCTCGAAGCAGTCCAAAAGAAATGGAGTAGACTGGTGGCGATGGGTCCATGCGAGCTATTCAATATACCGGGTAAGACAGCGTGTAATGCCTCAATTTATTTCCGCCTTGCCCAAACCAAAGCCAAGCAGGGTTTCTCAAAATTGGTATACCTGCTTTCGTAGTCAGTTTTTTTCTTACTAAGGTAGTAGATTTCCCTTCTTTCTCTAAAGCGAGTGAGTGCATTTCTAGTAGTTAAGCGTTTCAATAAATTCCAGTGTCTCTTAGTCTCACTTTTAGCCATTATTCTCTGTCAACTAGAAGGTAGAGTGTAAGGCAAGGAACTTCTTTCACTAGTATAGTATCGTATGGGGAACATGCCCAGAAGACTATTTCATAGTTCCAGGCAAACAAAGCCATGCTTACTTCATCTTCACTTCATGCTTATACATAGACCTGGTGGACTGGAGGTCTTGTCTTCAAGACTTGCCTACATATCTGTGCTTAACTGAGCCAGAATCAAGCCCAATGTAGTTCCCTACTTACTGAACGTCGTGATTAGCCTTCGCCGATGCCCTACATCGATGTCTCTGCTTCATTTTCTTCTTCATCCTTTTAGTAACAAAATAAAGCAGAAGTAGAACCAAACTGAGAGTTAACAACATAAAGAAAGATGGATTTGTGAATGAGAAATACAAGTCGCCTAGCGCGGGGGGGTGAATGTCCAATCCCTCAAGAGGAGACGGGACGTCCGAATTAACAAATTGGTGCGACCATGCATCGATAGCCTCCTCAAACCATTCACTTTGTTCTTTCTTTTGATTCAAGTCCTTCAAAATGGCACGCAAAGTAGAGGGATCCGATGATTCGCCGTGGACCCACTGGCCCAAAACATAGCGTGCCTCCCCGTCCAACTGGAAGCCAGTCTCTTCTGCAATGCTCGCCACTTTCTCTTCGATTCTTCCCTGGGCCGAACAAACTTCTCTTTCGGTGTAAGGAGAAAGAGTCGAATAAATACTAGACATCTCAGATGACGAGTCAGAATCGGGGGATGAGGGAACACCAATATTATGATAGGACGAAGGTATCTCCGCAGTCTTGGGCAGAGATGGAGATAACGGAGGGCACTCTACATCTCTAAGCAAAGGGCTTACGCTCTCCTCCTCAAAGGAGTTTCTTTCTGCTGCAGATACAGAACAAGAAGATTCAGATGCAGAACAAGAAGATTCAAGGGGAAGGGTTTGTTCGTATATCCATTTAAGCGAGCGAAATTTCTGCACTTTCATTTGCTTTGAAACTTTTCTTTGGCTGCTCTGCTCCCCCCAAAAAAAAGAAGAGAGACTTGTTCTTGCTCATGGAAATCGCCGGTTGGGTTTACCAAGAAAAACATGGGAATAATTGGACGTAACATTCTTTAACCGCTTATTTACGATATTTCGAGTTGGATGAAAACAGCGCTCAGAAAACTGCGGACCTGTATAGGGCGACCCCCTATAAAAACGGAGAGAGCGCCTCAAGGGTATCTCCTATTTTTTTTCTCTAGAAAAGAGTGAAAGTAGGGGCTATTGCGGCCCTCGCTCTCAAGACTGTCGAAGATAGCAAGGAGACTTTTCAATGAGCCCCAGGGTCCAAAATGAATTGGTTTTGTAGAAGAACACATTCTTCTGTGGAAGAAAGTCGTATCTGGGCTCCACTCAGCAAGAACTCATTATCATTCTCTGGAAGCTTAGGAAGCTTACCCTCTTCATTATCATTCTTCTTCTCCTCTTCCAGGTCCCCAAATACCCCCATCCAATAGGGAAATCAAAATTCATTGGGATCTTCGACCCAATCAAATAGAAGAGCCCCAAGGGCGCCATATTCTAGGAGCCCAAACTATGTGATTGAATAAATCCTCCTCTATCTGTTGCGGGTCAAGGGCGCCTTCTTCAAACTCCGATTCGTATTTGTCATAGATAAATCTCTTTCAAGGATAGAACAAGATCCGTTTTGCATCATATCTAAGGGATTCCTCGGTCGGGCCGAAGAAGCAATGTCACTCGATCATTATCAAACTGACTGCAATTTTTTTCTGTCCGTGAAGATCCCACCAGAGCGCCTTCTACTTCTAATAGGCCATGAACTAGATCAGAATCATTCTCAACGAGTCCATAGGAAGTGATCCCATTTTTTTCATCGGGTCCGGGTAAAGACCAAAGATCTTGAGCGACCGATCCGGCAGAACAACCCAAAAGATAAAGAAGTATCGTGAATTTCTTCATGCTCGTTCCAAGTTCGGAGTACCATTTGTACAAATAAGAATCCCCTTCGTTACATGATTTCTTCTTCATATAGATAGATATAGGATCTATGGCGCAATTACTTAGAAGTACATTTTGTGCTACAGCCCTTCCTATCTGATAGAAAAGGATCCCAGGATCCTTAACCGATCTTACCGGGGATCGCAAAGTCAAAGTTTTTCGAAAAAGAGCGTATCTAATTAGATTAGTGTCTAGAATATCTTTTTTCTCTGCAATAATAATCGATAGGACCTCATTGGTTAGTCTTACAAGATCTCCTATAGTGGAACCCAAGGTTATGGACCCGAATCCGTTAGTATAGAACATTTTCTTTTCCAAGTGAAATCCCTCATATAGTAGGGATATGAAAGAGTAAAAAAGTACTTTCGTTGTTGTGGAATAAGAAGCCTTCGTAACTTAATGCATGTATTTCATTTATTCGGGCCTATTAGAGCAGGATCCACTTTTTTGGGAATATTGGTCGAAGCAATAAAAAGAATATTTCCAGTGTAACCTTTTTCCAAATCCCCTTTTTCCCCGGAGAAATTGTCCATTAATAGAGTGGACCAACCCCATTTTTCATAATCCCCGGAGAGATTGTTCGCTAATATACCAAGAGATAAGGAATTCGACTCAGTCATATGCAGATCATGAATGTTTGGAATCCATATTATGCAAGGATACATTGCTTTTGTTAATTCGAATTGAAGGTTGATAAAAAAAAGGGTCTCTGTGTTCCGGTTCTAGCAGATTCACAGCCTCATTTACCACCTTTTCAAACTCCTGCTCCGCCTCAAGGGCACGGGCGATAGCGATCTCGTAAACCACATCAGTAACGTCAATACCACAAATCTCTTCAATTTCCTTACTATCATCAATATCGTCAATCATATCAAGATAAACATCGTCTTCTTCGTCAATATTGCCACCACTATAAAATCATTATCAGAATCACTATTAGAATCTAAATCATTATCAAAATCATCATCAGAAACCTTAACCAGGTCCCGGTTCCGAAATACTGTAACGAAAGGAACATAGGAGTTTGTTGCTAGGTATTTGACCAAATAGGATCGTCCAGTTTTTATAGAACCTATCACTAAAATACCCCTAGAAGGGGATAGGGGTAAGCGGAGCGAAAAGGGTAGGTTAGGAGATGGGTAATGAAAACGATTCGAGGTTTGTATTGTCTTACAATAAGCAAGGAATATCCGTCTTTCCGCTAAACAGAGTGTATTGAACTCATAATTCAGTAGATACTTTTTATGAATGTAAATGAAGTTTCGTAAGTAAATTACTCCCGACTCTTCATTCATTAGAGAACCAGAGTCAGTATTTGATAAATGATCACTCTGAGTCAGACTCAATAGAATTTTATCAATCCTTTTTTCTATCGTTAAGTTAGCTCACTTCACAAACCCAAAGCGTCAAACTCACCTCGGTTTAGCAATTACACGTACAGTCCAGGAGTTGCAGAAGGGATATCAGGATCTAGGCAAGTAAAGAACTTGCTTTGCTAATATCACTCTACATAGGATCACTCGCCTTAAGGCTCTCTCAGATCAATTCCAAAAACAGATTATGGAATGAAATTGATGAGAACTGTCTTGTCAGAAAAGCAAATCTCAGTAGCTCCAGAGATGGATCGCCTACGAAACGAAAGGGACTATTCTGGGCTCTTGAACCCTGCCTTGGCTAATCCCAGACCCTCAAGTCACCACAATACGCTCTAATGCCCCCCTACCAGCTCCAAGACTGACTTCGGATTCGGATATTGGATCGAATATAGGAAAGCGGGGACCAAAGCCCGAGTTCAATCAGTACGTCGCTGTAGAAGGAAAGACTGTCCGACTGTAATAAGAAGCAATCAAGAGGCAACAGCCGCTTTATAGCGGAGAATTGATCAGAGATTTTCATTGCCCTTAACTCCTCACATAAAGCAACAAAGGAAGTGTCAAGTGTAGCGAGAACATTATCTATGAATAGAATCCGCAAAAGTCAAATAAAGACGTTCAGGCGCTCTAGTGTCTAAAAAAAGGTTTAGGAGTTTTCCTGCCAATTCACTGCTGATCTCATTGCCATGATGAATCATACAGATTTCATCATCGCCAGCACCTTTCAGGAAATCGCTGGAAGCAAGGACACTCTTGGACAAGACGAGAGTCACAATGCTTTCACTCTTACTGGGCTCTACCGAGTTGTTCATGGGATTGATGTTTTTGATCCCAAGTGAAAGATTTTTTTCACCTGGTGCTGATACGAGTCTTGACTTCCCCTACACAGAGGAGAACAGGAGGTTGACTTACTTCCATCCTTAGATTGAGGAGCTCTTTACAGCCATGTTGAGAACAAAGAACACTGATGTGTGCTAAAGGACCGGAGCAAGCCGATCTTCTTCACAAGGCAAGGTTGGACCGTGTGAAGAACTTGACTGGACTCGTTGAATGGTATGGCAAGAATGCTCGTCTCCGGGAGCTGGTTCACCTTGTTGTGGTTGGTGGTGATCGGAGGAAGGAGTAGAAAGACTTGGAAGAGCAAGCAGAGATGAATAAGATGTAAGGCCTTATTGATAAAGACAACTTGAATGGTCAGTTCAGGTGATTTCTTCTTGAAAGTGCTATTGAGTTCCCTTGCCCTTGGATGGTGGGCCAGGGAAGAAATGCCATCGGTCAGTCCGAGTGTGAGTCTGTTCCGGTCAAACGGAAGAAAGGCGAGCAAGACAGCGTTAGTGCATTGATGCCCAGAATTCGCTTTGACTGGTATAGAATCACTCCTAGTCTTAGTTAGCTCTCCTAGCTGCACATTCATAACTATTATATAAGAGTCTGACATCAGTCAATCTGATTTGCACAAGCATTGAAGGAGGGTTCTGCAATTGAATCAGAATGAAAAGCATTAGCAGGGTTACATTGATTCCTTCACATTCAACAAAAGTTGCATTAGCGCTTCCAGGCAGTGAAAAGGCGGCACTGGTCTTTCACTTCCTTTTTCAAGAAGGGCTTGCCAACTGTCTCATCTCGTGCAGCAGGAGTTGAATAGTATATACGAAAGAAGGTCTTGTTAAAAGCCTTCGATCCGTTTAGATGGTTTAGAGAAAATAAGAGGGAGTTTGAACTGTTAAGAGGTGCGCTCTTTCGAGATGCTTTAATTACTATTGGGATAACATATTCTTATTTTGGTAAGGCATCGCTTTACTGTATTTCTAAGAGTTAGCAGTCGAAGGGAAGAAAGTTCTTTGATCAACCAATGGTATAGAATCAACTATTATAGAATCTGCTTTCTAGAAGCCTTTAAGTAAGAAACTGTCTTAGTGGGTATTGGCTCATTGAACACTAACTTAACCTAAAAGGTCCGATAGTGTGTCAGTGAAGACCAAGCCACGAACTAGCCTCTTTTCCTTCCCTTCTATGGTGAAGTCAGAGCATCAGTTCTTCTTTTAGTAGAAGACTTGATCTTCCATACACCAGATCAGATCAATGCGCGAGAGAAAACATTATCCTTAGCCATGCATTCCAATGCCCGGGGTTACTAGTCAATGTACTAGTCACACTTACGGCATAAGCGATGTCCGGGCGAGTGCACTTGCATACATTAGGCTTCCAACCAAAAAGGCATCAAGCAGTTAATCAGGGGTCTTAATAAGCTCTGATTAAGATAGTTAGCGATTGCCAATAGCCTCCTCTTACCAGCCCCCCCTAAATGACATCCTCAAGCTCCCATGGTATAGGCCGTTCTAATACAAATCATAAGGACCAAGGCCTGGCTGGGACAGAGGGTACTTTCGAAGGCCTCATAGCAGACCTAATTATCTTCCTTGCTTTCTTGTCTCAACTGATAAGAAAGGAAAAAAGTCCCTAAGCTGCTTCAATTGCAAGTGGTGGTTGACTCTTGATTCAATTCATGTGCACATCACATCTGCACTGCTATCCCATTGCCCTAAGAGAAAGATAGACGGTGAACCAAGCCAAGAAGTTGGTGGATAAGGGCGAAGAAGTAGAGCAAGATCTGGATTCTGTAGAGGCTGAGATCTAAGACATATTCCAATTTTGGGTACATTTACCAAACACGACCTTTGAGTTTACTCAGTGGCGATAAGCACTGCTTTAGCTTTGACTTGAAATCGGCGACTGATCGTTGGCCGTGCTTTCAATGTTCTATCTAATGCAGGTTTGCTTCGGAGGCAGTTCGCTAGTGCTGTGGTTAACTCTGCACTAGGCACTAATGTGTTTGAGGTCAGCTGGGTAAAACGACGCTCAGTTGTTTGCTTTCAAACGGACAGCCTTTAGGATACTACTCTTCTTGGCCGCTCTTCGCACTAACTCATCATGCTATGATTTGGTGGTGTGCAGAGCAGGTATATCCTCAGCGTGTCTTTTACCGTTATGCGGTGCTCGCGATGATGTCGTAATCGCCGACGAGCAGGTGGCCAAGGTCTACGAACATGCATTATCTCAGATGGGTGTATAAATATCTTCTAAAAAATCACTCATCTCAGATAATGTAATGGGGGTG